GATCTTGGGAATTTGGGGTGGGGGCGGTCACGGATTGGGGGGTTGAGGGTCCTGGGGATGTGGGGTCTGGGCGGAGCGTGGAATTGGGGCTCTGGGGGTTATGGAGTTGGGGTTCCGGGGGTTTTGGGGGGCCGGGGGTCGTTGCCCCCTCCCCAGCTGTGCCCCCCTGCCCCCCCAGTTCATGCTGGCCACGGACAAGTTCCAGCTGGGCTACACCGAGGGGGGGCACTGCAAGGGGGACCCCCGGCGGCAGCTGGCCCCCCCCCAGCGCCTGCAGTGGGACATCCCCCCCGAGGTGGGCGACAGGGGACGGGAGGGGACAGGGGAGACGGGGGGGACAGGGGGACAGCGAGGGGACAGGGAGGGGCAGGAGGGGACAGGGAGGGACAGGGTGGGGACAGGGAGGGACAGGGGCGGACAGGGTGGGGACAGGGGCGGACTGCTACAGGTGAGGGTGAGGACTCAGGTGAAAGCCATGCCGTGCCATGTTGTGCCATGCCGAGTCCCCAGGGCGTGGCTGCCATCGATGGGGTGGCACGGTGTGGGTTCAGGTGGGGTGCCATGCCATGCCGTGCCGTGCCGTGCCGTGCCGTTGCCCCACTCGGGGTTCAGCTGGTGTGCCGTGCCGTGCCATGCCATGCCATGCCATGCCGTGCCGTGCCGTGTCCCATCCCCAGGGCGTGGCGGCCATCGAGGCGTCGCTGCGCGTGGCGCGGGCGCTGGCCGAGGACGTGGACTTCTGCTGCTTCCAGTTCTCCACCTTCGGCAAGGGGCTCATCAAGCGCTGCCGCACCAGCCCCGACGCCTTCATCCAGATCGCCCTGCAGCTGGCACACTTCCGCGTGAGCCGGGACGGGAATGGGATAACGGGAATGGGATAATGGGATAATGGGAGGGGACGGGATCGCCCTGCAGCTGGCACACTTCCGCGTGAGCCGGGACGGGAATGGGATAACGGGATAATGGGAATGGGATCCGTGGGACGGGATCGCCCTGCAGCTGGCACACTTCCGCGTGAGCCGGGAATGGGATAACGGGATAACGGGATAATGGGAATGGGACAGGATCGCCCTGCAGCTGGCACACTTCCGCGTGAGCCGGGACGGGAATGGGATCCGTGGGGTGGGATAATGGGATAACGGGATCCATGGGGTGGGATAATGGGAATGGGAACAGGGTGGGATAATGGGAATGGGATCCATGGGGCGGGATAATGGGATAAAGGGAATGGGATCCATGGGGTGCGATAATGAGAATGGGATCCGTGGGGCGGATTGGGATAATGGGAATGGAATCTGCGGGGCGGGATAAGGGGAATGGGATCCACGGGGTAGGATAATGGGAACAGGATCTATGGGGTGGGATCTTGGGATGGAATGGGATAATGGAATGGGAATGGGAATGGGATCCATGGGGTGGGATGGGATTGGGGTGGGATGGGATAATGGGATGGGATAAGGACAGGATGGGGTGGGAGTGGAAAGGGGTGGGATGGGATGGGGTGGGGGCCCGGGGCGTGGCCGTGGCCAGGACGGGGTGGCTGTGACCAGCGGGACGAGCCGTGCCCATGCCGTGTCCCCAATTCCCCACCCCGCAGGACAAGGGCTCCTTCTGCCTGACCTACGAGGCGTCCATGACGCGGCTGTTCCGCGAGGGCCGCACCGAGACCGTGCGCTCGTGCACGGCCGAGTCCACGGCCTTCGTGCGCAGCATGGCCGACAGCCGGCGCAGCGTGAGTGCCACGGCACGGGACCCTGCTGGCACCCCGCCCCTCGGGGGTCCCCGTCCCTCCGGGGTGCCGGGGGCCTCTTTGGGGTGCAGCTTGGGGTGCAGCCCCCCTGATCCCCCAGCGCTCGGAGGGGCAGTGCCTGTTCAAGGTGCAGCTCTGGGGGCTGAGCCAGGGTGCAGATTTGGGGTGCAGAGGGGCAGCAGAGACTGTTCCGCAGGTTGGGGTGCAGCGTGGGGTTCAGCCCCCAACGCCTCCCCAGAGTGCAGAGGGGCAGCAGCGACTGTTCCAGGTGCAGACTGGGGGTGTCGGTTCGGGTTCCATTTGGGGTGCAGGTCTGGGGGTGTGTTGGGGTGCAGATTGGGGTTCAGCCACCCCGACCCCCCAGCACTTAGAGGGGCAGTGTCTGTTCAAGGTGCAGACTGGGGGTGCAGGTTTGGGGTGCAGGTTCGGGTTCCATTTGGGGTGCAGGTTTGGGGGTGCATTGTGGTGCAGTTTGGGGTGCAGCCCCCCTGATCCCCCAGTGCTTGCAGGGGCAGTGTCTGTTCAAGGTGCAGATCTGGGCTGTGCCTGGGCTCAGGTTTGGGATCAGTTTGGGCTCAGTTTGGGGTGCAGGTTTGGGGTGTCAGTTAATTTGCAGTGTCAGTAATTTGTGGGTTCAACCCCGGGCACCCCAGCGCTCGGAGCGGCAGCAGCTGTTCGAGGTGCAGGTCTGGGGGCTGTGCAGGGGCTCAGTTTGGGCTCGGTTTGGGGTGCAGATTTGGGGTGCAGGTTTGGGGTGTCGGTAATTTGGGGTGTCGGTGATTTCGGGGTTCCCCCAGCGCTCGGAGCGGCAGCAGCTGTTCGAGGTGCAGATCCGGGGGCTGTGCAGGGCTCAGTTTGGGGTGCAGGTTCAGGGTGGCAGTTTGGGGTGTCGGTAATTTGGGGTGTCGGTCATTTCGGGGTTCCCCCAGCACTCAGAGCGGCAGCAGCTGTTCGAGGTGCAGGTCTGGGGGCTGTGCAGGGGCTCAGTTTGGGCTCGGTTTGGGGTGCAGATTTGGGGTGCAGGTTTGGGGTGTCGGTTCGGGGTGTCAGTTTGGGGTGTCGGTCATTTCGGGGTGTCTGTGATTTCGGGGTGTCGGTAATTTGGGGTTCCCCCAGCTCTCGGAGCGGCAGCAGCTGTTCGAGGTGCAGATCCGGGGGCTGTGCAGGGCTCATGCAGGGGCTCAGTTTGGGCTCGGTTTGGGCGCAGTTTGGGGTGCAGGTTTGGGATGTCGGTTCGGGGTGTCAGTTTGGGGTGTCGGTCATTTCGGGGTGTCGGTGATTTCGGGGTGTCGGTGATTTGGGGTTCCCCCAGCGCTCGGAGCGGCAGCAGCTGTTCCGGGTGGCGGCCGAGAAGCACCAGCAGCTCTACCGGCTCGCCATGACCGGCGCGGGCATCGACCGCCACCTCTTCTGCCTGTACCTGATGTCGCGGTACCTCGGCATGCAGAGCCCCTTCCTGGCCAAGGTCAGCGCGGGGACACGGACAGGGACATGGGGACGGGGACATGGACAGGGGCCAGGGATGGGGACACGGACAGGGACTGGGGACACGGGACAGGGATGGGGACAGGGATGGGGACACGGACAGGGACATGGGGACGGGGACATGGACAGGGACGGGGACACGAGGGTGACAGTTGGGGACACGGGAGGAGCACACAGAACCCCTGTGGGACACGGGCAAGGGGCCATAGGAAGGCGCAGGGGGGACACAGAGTGGCACCGGGAGGGCACAGCGGGGACACTGCCACCCACCCTGGTGTCACCGCACGTGGAGTCCCGCCCTGGGGCTGGGGGGTCCTGGGGGGCTTTGGGTGCAGTGGAGTTCCCCGGGGTGCCATGGGGCACAGTGGGGCACAGTGGGGTTCCCGGGGTTCCCTGGGGTTCCCTGGGCTCCCCGGGGTGCCCGGGGTGCAGCGAGTGTCCCCACAGGTGCTGGCGGAGCCCTGGCGCCTCTCCACCAGCCAGACCCCGCAGCAGCAGCTCAAGATGTTCGACTTCGAGAAATTCCCCGACCACGTCTCCAGCGGCGGCGGCTTCGGCCCCGTGAGCTCCGGGGCACCGGGGGGCACCGGGGGGCACCGGGAGGGGGCAGCGGGTGCGGGGCTCGCTGTGGGGTCCGTGGGTTTGGGCAGGGGGTGCCCCACACCGGAGCCCCCAGCCCCACATGGGCGAGCCGGGTGGCTTCAGCCCAGCCCCACACTCGGGTGGGTGCCCCAGGGGGGTCCCAGGTGCCCCCCGGTGCCCCATGGCCCCTGTGCCCCCCCCGCAGGTGGCAGACGATGGTTATGGGGTGTCCTACATCATCGCCGGGGAGAACCTCATCACCTTCCACGTGTCCAGCAAGTTCTCCAGCCCCGAGACGGTGAGGGGGGCACGGGCGGTGGGGAGGGGGGGTCCCAGAGCTGCACTCGCTGTCCCTGGGGTCACCTGTGAGGTCACCTGAGGGTCTGGGACAGCCCGTGACCCTGGCCCCCCCCCAGTGGGACCCCCAGCCCATCCCAGCCCCCCCTTCTGGGACACCCACCCCATCCCAGTCCCCCCCAGTGGGGTGCGGGCCATGCTGGGGGTCCCACAGCTCCGGGGGTGCCCCAGGGTGGGCACGGGGGGGGTTGGGGTCTCACTTTGGGCACTGCGCTGCCCCCCGGGGGGGTCCGGGCGGGCTCTGAGCGGCGCTGCCCGCAGGACTCGCAGCGCTTCGGCCGCAACATCCGCCAGGCCATGCTGGACATCGCGGCGCTCTTCGACAAGCCCCCCCCCGCCGGGAAGTGACCGGGGGGGCCGCGGGACCCCCGCGCTCTGGGGGGCCGGGGGGCGCGGCCCTGGCCCTGCTCCCAATAAAGGCTCTCGGTGTGACCCCGCTGTGCCTCGGGGTGGGACCCCCGGAGGTCAGGGGGGCCAGGGCTGGATCCGCGGGGTGCCGGGGGGCATCCGCGGGGTGCCAGGGCTGGATCCACGGGGGTCCTCGGGGGGGCACGGTGGGCACCGGCGGGGGCCGGTGAAGGCATCAAAAGGGCCGTGCCTGGGGCGGTGACCCGGCTGGTCCGTGCCCAGCCCCATCCCAGTGACCCGTGCCCAGCCCCAGACCCGTGCCCAGCCCCATCCCAGTGACCCGTGCCCATCCACAGACCCGTACCCAGCCCCACCCTGGTGATCTGTGCCCAGCCCCAGACCCGTGCCCACCCCCATCCCGGTGACCCGTGCCCATCCCGGTGGTCCGTGCCCATCCCGGTGACCCGTGCCCATCTCGGTGGTCCATGCCCACCCCCATCCCGGTGATCTGTGCCCATCCCGTGCCCATGCCCATCCCAGTGATCCGTGCCCATTCCATACCCATACCCGGCTCGGTCCCCATCCCGGTGATCTGCTCCCATCCCCATCCCCGTGCCCAGCCCCGGGCCTGTCCCTCTCCCGGTGATCTGTGCCCGTCCTGATGCTCCGTGCCGTTTCCCGGATCCGGTCCCGTCCCGGTGCTCCGTGCCAGTCTCTTTCCCAGTGATCTGTCCCTGTCCCGTTTTGCCAGTCTCTTTCCCAGTGATCTGTCCCCGTCCCGTTTCTCCGTGCCAGTCCCGTGCCTGTCCCCGTCCCGGCGCTCCGTGCCTGTCCCTTTCCCGGTGCCCGTGCCGTGTCTCGGTGCCAGTCCCGTGCCCAGCCCGTGCCATGACGGGGGTGCGCAGCGGGGCACGGCGGCACGGGCGGGCCCTGCGCAGAGCCCTTGGGCCGTGTCCGGCCCGGGGGTCGCCGCGCCCCGGGTGGCACCGCGCTGGCACCGTCCCCTCCCCGCCGCCACCGCCCGGCGCCGCCAGCCCGGAGCCAGCGGCGGGCGAGGGGCCAGGGGTGGCACCGCGCTGGCACCGCGCTGGCACCGTCCCCTCCCCGCCGCCACCGCCCGGCGCCGCCAGCCCGGAGCCAGCGGCGGGCGAGGGGCCAGGCCGGGCACGGGGACCGGGACAGGGGACAGGGACCGGGGCCAGGCCGGGAGAGGGGACAGGGACACCCCGGGACAGGGGACAGGGACCGGGGACACCCCGGGACAGGGACAGGGACCGGGGACACCCCGGGCGAGGGGCCAGGCCGGGCAGGGGGATCGGGACAGGGGACAGGGACCGGGGACACCCCGGGAGAGAGGACAAGGACAGGGAACACTGGCGGGAGAGGGGACAGGACAGGGACCAGGGACAGGGGACAGGGACAGGGACAGGGACCGGGGACACCCCGGGACAGGACACAGGACAGGGGACACCCCGGGCGAGGGGCCAGGCCGGGCAGGGGGATCGGGACAGGGGACAGGGACCGGGGCCAGGCCGGGACCGGGGCCAGGCCGGGACAGGGGACAGGACAGGGGACAGGGACAGGGGACAGGCCGGGAGAGGGGCCAGGGACAAGGGGCCACCCGTCAGAGGGGACAGAGAGGGCACAGGGACAGGGGACATCCCCCGGGAGAGGGGACAGACGGGGAACAGGGACAAAGACCCTTCTGGGACAGGGTCCAGGCCTGGGACAGCGACAGCGACAGGGACAGAGACCCCGCGGGCAGCCCCCCCCCCACCCTGGGGTCACTGTCACCCCGGCACCAGGCTGGTCCTGCGCCCCCACCCCATATCGGAGTGACATCCATGGTCCCGACCCCATATCAGGGTGACAGCCCCGACCCTACATCGGGGTGACAGCCCCCATCCCCACCCCAAATCGGGGTGACATCATGATCCAGACCCCACATCGGGGTGACAACCCCGACCCCATATCAGGGTGACAGCCCCTCTCCCCCCACACCGGGTGCCCGCTGTCCCCTCGCTGGGGCCGTGTCCTCCCTCGGAGCTGGCGCGGGACTGTCCCGGGTGCCGCGGGGACCCCGGGGACACCGCTGGGGGCTGGGTGGGAGCTGGGACCCCGGAGAGCGAGTCTGTGTGTCCGGCACCGCGTCCCTCTGTCTATCCCTTGGTCCGTGTCCCTCGGTCCGTGTCCCTCGGTCCGTGTCCCTCAGTCCGTGTCCGCCGCAGCCGCGCCCGCTCCCCCGCCCTTATCAGATCCCTGATCGATCCCTTATCGATGCCTGATCAGATCCCTGATGGGACCGCACCCCAGCCCGGCACCCCCGGCCCCTTCACCCCCCTGTCCCCGGGGATGGCCCCTGTGCCCTGTCCCCTCCTGTGGGGGATGGCCCGTGTCCCCTGTCCCCTCCTGTGGGGGATGGCCCCTGTCCCCTGTCCCTGTCCCCTCCCAGCCCCGTGCCGGTCCCGGGGGTCACTCGGAGCTGTGCCCGTGTCCCAGCCGTGTCCCCACGCCTCTTGGTGACCCCCATTCCCCGAGGGGGGACCCCAGGGCCCGCCAGGGACCCCCGGGTGCTGTCACTGTGACCCCGGGGGTCCCTGCCCTGGCACCCCGAGAGCGGGGGCAGCGCCGGGGGGCCCGGGGGGTGCCCGGGGGGTGCTCGGGGTTGCCCGGGGGTGCCCGGGGGTGCCCGGGGGGTGCCCGGGGGGCTCAGGGAGTGTCCGGGGGTGCTCGGGGGTGCTCGGGGTTGCCCGGGGGGTGCTCGGGGGTGCTCGGGGGTGCCCGCGTCACCGGCCCCTTTGATGCGGTGCCAGCCCCGCCACGGGCGGGTGCTCCCGGCCCGGCCCCCCCGCCCCCGCGGGCCCATAAAGGGCTCGGGGAGTCCCGAACAGGGCCGGAGGTGCCCTGACCCCCCAACCCCCCCCGCCGGGCCCCAGCTGGGTTTGGGGGTCACGGTGACACCCCTGTCCCCCCAGGGGCCGAGGCCACCCGCTGTCCCCGGGGGTGGCTGTCCTTCCAGGGACACTGCTACGGCTACTTCGGGCAGCAGCTGAGCTGGAGGAGGGCTGAGGTGGGTGCCGGGGGAATCGGGGGGTCCTGGGGTCCCCCAGACCCCCAGGACCGCCCCGGACGTGGCGCTGTCCCCAGGCGTGGTGCCAGGCCACCCGCGGGGGGCACCTGGCGTCGCTGCACAGCCCCGAGGAGCACCGGGCGCTCGCCGCCTTCCTCGCGCGGCGCCCGCGGCGGGGAGAGGACGACGAGGAGGGCGACAAGGACAGGGACAGGGACAGGGACAAGGAGGACGGCGTCTGGATCGGGCTGCACCGGCGGGTGCGTGGCCGGAGCGAGCCGTGCCTGTCTGTGCCTGTGTGCCACACCCCGTGTCCCACCCCGTGTCCAATCCCTGTGCCACACCCCGTGTCCCGCCCCGGTGTCCCCTGCCTGCAGCGCTCCCTGTCCCCTGTGTCCCAGCCTGTCCTGACCCCGCCCTGCCACACCTCCGTGTCCTGTCCCGCTGTCCTGAGCTGTCCCTGCAGCGCTGCCTGGCTGCCACCCGTGTGTCCCTGTCCCCCCGTGTGTCCCTGCCTCACCTGTGTCCCTGTGCTCCCTGTCCCCCTGTCTGTTACCCGTGGGTACCTGTCCCCTGTCCCCTGTGCCCTGTCTCACCTGTGTGTCCTTGTCCCCCTGTGCCCACTGAGCCCCGTCCCCCTGTCCCCTGTGCCCCTGTCCCTTGTCTCACCTTGTGTCCCTGTGTCCCTGTCCAATGTCCAGATGTGTGTCCCTGTCCCCCCGTGTGTCCCTGTCCCCCTGTGTGTCCCTGTGCTCCCTGTTCCCTGTGCTCCCTGTCCCCTGTCCCCTGTGTGCCCCTGTCTCACCTGTGTGTCTTTGTCCCCGTACCCCTGTCCCCTGTGCCCCCGTCCACTGTGTCCCTGTGTCCCCATCCCCTGTCCCCCCGTGCCCTGTCCCCCTGTGTGTCCTTGTCCCCCTGTGCCCACTGAGCCCCGTCCCCCTGTCCCCTGTGCCCCTGTCCCTTGTCTCACCTTGTGTCCCTGTGTCCCTGTCCCCTGTCCCCCTGTGTGTCCCTGTCCCCCTGAGCGGGGTCCCGTGTCCCCTGTCCCTGTCCCTGTCCCCGTCTCACCCGTGTCCCTGTTCCCCTGTGTCCCTGTCCCTGTCCCCTGTCTCACCTTGTGTCCCCGTGTCCCCACCGTCCCCCTGTCCCCTGTGCCCCTGTCCCTTGTCTCACCTTGTGTCCCTGTGTCCCTGTCCCCTGTCCCCCTGTGTGTCCCTGTCCCCCTGAGCCCTGTCCCGTGTCCCCTGTCCCTGTCCCTGTCCCCGTCTCACCCGTGTCCCTGTTCCCCTGTGTCCCTGTCCCCTGTCTCACCCGTGTCCCCGTGTCCCCATCCCCATTCCCTGTCCCTGTGTCCCTGTCCCCGTCCCCGTCTCACCCGTGTCCCCTTCCCCTGTCCCTGTCCCCGTCTCACCCGTGTCCCTCCCGTGTCACAGCGCCAGGGCTGGCTCTGGGCTGACGGGTCCCCGCGCCACTACTGGGCCTGGGAGGGGGACGATGGCCCCAGGGGACATCCCTGCATCGCCCTGGAGGACTCGGCAGGTCAGGGGGCACGGGTGCCAGCCTGGGGACAAAGCCTGGGGACAATGGCCTGGGGACAATGGCCTGGGGACAGTGGCCTGGGGACAGCCCCGTGCCACGCTGGAGGACCCAGCTGGGGGGGGACACAAGGGTTGGGGGGCAGGGGGTGTCAGGGAGGGTCAGGGGGGTCAGGGAGGATCAGGGGGGGTCAGGGGGGTCAGGGAGGGCCAGGGGGTGTCCGGGGGCCCTGGGGCTGGCAGTGTCCCACGTGTCCCCTGTGGTGTCCCCGCAGGGTTCATGGCCTGGGAGGGCGAGGCGTGCGGCGAGCGCAAACCCTTCGTCTGCAAATACGAACCCTAGGGGGGCCGGGGGGGCCCGGGGGGGCCCGCGGCCCCCACTGCTGCCCCCAGCCCCTGTGCAGCCCCCCGACCCTGGGGCGTGACCCCCACCCCGCATCCTGTCCCCAAACCCAGCCCCACCCGGACCCCGCACACCCAGCCCCCCTGCACCGAGACCCCCAATAAAGTGACCGAAGCACCGGGACCCCCCGTGTCCCTTGGCTGTGTCTGTGCCCCACGGGTGACACCGCAGGGGACGGGGACCTCAGCCCGTGTGACCCCCGAGCTCCCGGGGGGGCATGGCCGGAGGCGTCCCCACGACAGAGGTGTCCCCAAGGGAAGGGGTGTCCCCAAGGGAAGGGGTGTCCCCAAGGCAGCCCCTGGCATCTCAGCCACTCTCTGTGTTCCTGTCCCCCCACGTCCTCGTGTCTCCCTGTGTCCCCCCTGTCCCCATATCCCCTGTCACCCCTTCACCCTCTCCCCGTGTCCCCGTGCTCTTCCCGTGTCCCCACAAATGTCCCCATGTCCCCCGCAAGTCACTCATATCCAAGTCTCCACATTGCCCTGTCCCCCCCTGTCCCCGTGTCCCCTCCCATGTCCCCTCCTGTCCCTCTGTCCTTGTGCTCCTGGGTCTCCGTGTCCCTCCTGTCCTCCCCGCGGAGTTTGGGGGGGTCAGATATGGGGTCCGAGGGGCGCATCCATGTGGTGCCAGGGCTGCATCCATGGGGTGGATTTTTGGGATGTACCCATCAGAATGTACCCATGGGGCGCCAGGGGTCAATCCACGGGGTGGATTTTTGGGGTGTATCCATGATCTGTACCCATGGGAGGTACCCATGGGGTGCCGGGGTCAATCCACGGGGTGGATTTTTGGGGTGGATTTTTGGGATGTACCCATGGGGGTGCTGGGGGTCAATCCACGGGGTGTATTTTTGGGGTGTATCTATTGGGATGTACCCACGGGTGTATTTTTGGGGTGTATCCATGGACTGTACCCATCGGGATGTACCCACGGGGTGCCGGGGTGCACCCACGGGGCTCCCGGCGCTCCCTCCCCGGCGCTGTCACTGCTGTCACCCCGGGGTGCTGAGCGCTCGGGGGGGTGGGGGTGGCACAAAGCGCTGGAACCCCGCGGCCATTGTGACACCGCGGCCACCAGGCCGCCGCCGCCGGCTCCCGCGGCCCCGCGGAGTCACTTGTCACCAGGGCGCCGCTGCCACCAACAGGGCCACCCCCCCGCATGCCGGCGCCGCTGCTGCCGCCCCGCTCGCCGTGGGGGGGTCAGATATGGGGTCCGAGGGGCGCGTCCATGGGGTGCCAGGGCTGCATCCATGGGGTGGATTTTTGGGGTGTATCCATGATCTGTACCCATGGGAGGTACCCATGGGGTGCCGGGGTCAATCCATGGGGTGGATTTTTGGGGTGGATTTTTGGGATGTACCCATGGGGGTGCTGGGGGTCAATCCACGGGGTGTATTTTTGGGGTGTATCTATTGGGATGTACCCACGGGTGTATTTTTGGGGGGTATCCATGGGCTGTACCCATCGGGATGTACCCACGGGGTGCCGGGGTGCACCCACGGGGCTCCCGGCGCTCCCTCCCCGGCGCTGTCACTGCTGTCACCCCGGGGTGCTGAGCGCTCGGGGGGGTGGGGGTGGCACAAAGCGCTGGAACCCCGCGGCCATTGTGACACCGCGGCCACCAGGCCGCCGCCGCCGGCTCCCGCGGCCCCGCGGAGTCACTTGTCACCAGGGCGCCGCTGCCACCAACAGGGCCACCCCCCCGCATGCCGGCGCCGCTGCTGCCGCCCCGCTCGCCGCGGGCAGCGGCCCCGGGAGCCCCCCCGCGCCCCGCCGCGACCACCGGCCGGGGGGCCGAGCCCGAGGCCGGGGCGCCGCCAGCAGAGCCCCCCATGTCACACGACCTCTGGGTGGGCCCCTGGAGACCGCACCGGCCCCGGGGGCCCACCTCGGCCGGGTACCGCAGCCCCGGGCCCAAGTACCGGATCCCCGGCAGCATCGGTGAGTGCGGGGCGGCGGGGCCGGCGGGGGACGCGGGCCGGGGGCGCCGAGTCCCACCGAGCCCCTGCCCGCCCCCAGGCCAAGACCGGCGCGACCCCTCCGGCCGCCGCGCCCCCGCCTACAGCTTCGGGATGAGGCTGGGGGGCCCCGAGGAGCCGCGCTCGCCCGGCCCGCAGTACCTGGTGCCCGCCGGCTTCACGGCCCGCGGCCGGGACCGCGGGCCCGCCTTCACCATGGGCGGCCGGCCCCGCGAGCGCCGCGCCAGCAACACACCTGGGCCAGGTGAGTGCGGGCCCGCAGCCCCGGCGCCGGCAGGGACCGCGGCCCGCCGCGCTCACCCCGCTCGCCCTCGCAGCGTATTATTGCCCCGAGCAGGCCACCAGGGTGACCCTGCCCTCGGCCCCCGCCTGCTCCGTGAGGTCCCGCGCCCGCCCGGACAGACCCCAGCAGACGCCAGGTGAGAGAGACAGGGGGTGTCAGGGGTCCCCCGGGGCTGGGACCCCGTCATCTCCCTGGGGCAGGGACCCCCAACACCCCCCGGGCTGGGACCGCCAACACCCCCCCGGGGCTGGGATCCCCGTCATCTCCCTGGGGCTGGGACCCCCAACACCCCCCTGGGCTGGGACCCCCAACACCCCCCCCGGGGCTGGGATCCCCGTCATCTCCCTGGGGCTGGGACCCCCAACACCCCCCGGGCTGGGATCCCCATTATTTCCCTGGGGCTGGGACCCCCAACACCCCCCGGGCTGGGATCCCCATCATCCCCCTGGCCGGACCGGGCTCCCCAACACCCCCGGGCTGCTCTGACCCACCGGGCCTCAGCCTTTCCTCCCCACCGCGGGAGGGGGAAGCCCCGTGTCCCCCTGAGCCGTGTCCCCCCCCAGGCCCTGCCACCTACCAGCTGCCCCCCGAGGGGGCTGGGGGGTCAGGTGCAAAGGCACTGGGGTGCCGGGGGACTGGATCTGGGGTGCCAGGAGTGTGGGGTGCCGGGGGCCGTGGGGTTGGGGCACCAAGGAGTTGCAGTGCCACGACTCCAGGGGGCTGGGGTGACAAGAATAACACCCCCCGGGCTGGGATCCCCATTATTTCCCTGGGGCTGGGACCCCCAACACCCCCCGGGCTGGGATCCCCATCATCCCCCTGGCCGGACCGGGCTCCCCAACACCCCCGGGCTGCTCTGACCCACCGGGCCTCAGCCTTTCCTCCCCACCGCGGGAAGGGGAAGCCCCGTGTCCCCCTGAGCCGTGTCCCCCCCCAGGCCCTGCCACCTACCAGCTGCCCCCCGTGGCGGGGCCCCGCCTGGTGAACAAGGCATCGACCCCCCAGTGCATCATGACAGGGCGAGGCCCCAGCATCTTCGAGGACAATAAACAGGTGGGGGCTGGGGGCAGGGGGCTGGGGGGTCGGGTGCAAAGGCACTGGGGTGCCGGGGGACTGGATCTGGGGTGCCAGGAGTGTGGGGTGCCGGGGGGTTGGGGTACCAAGGAGTTGCAGTGCCACGACTCCAGGGGGCTGGGGTGCCAAGAATGTGGGGTGCAGGGGCTCGGGTACCGAGGGTGTGGGGCATGCAGGGGGTGACAGCACCCGCCCCTCTGCCCGCAGACCCCAGGACCCAACAACTACGGCACCGTGGACCCCAACTTGTACATGGCGCGGGCGCCCCGCTGCACCATAGTGGGGCGGACCCGCTCGCCCCCGACCTCCAAGACGCCCAGCCCCAGCGACTACTACCCCAAACCGGTGAGCGGGGACGGGGACAGGGAGCCGGGGGGACGGGGACCCGCAGCCCCTGACCCTCACAGCGCCTCTGTCCTCCCGCAGGACCAGAAACAAGGACAGACCTTCGGCGTGCGCCACTCGGAGAGCGTGGTGCCCATGAGGGACTCGCGCCTGTAGGGGAGCGGGGACGTGGGTGACACCGCCAGCCTGTGGCAAGCACGAACTGCAGCAGCACCCGCTCACGCTCCTGGGTGACACCGCCATCTGTGACAAACACGAGCTCCAGCAGCACTCGCTCACTCTCCTGTCCCGCTGCGTCGCACGGGGGGCCGGGGGCTCCCCTAAAGCCGCACTTCGCCCATCCCCAGGGAGACCCTGGCAAGGCCACGGAGAGGGACCCCGTGGGGGGGTGGGACGTGCCAGGGGTGAGGGATGTGCTAGCAGCCCCCGCCCTGCTCCAGTCCCATCCCATCCTGCCCGGGACCTCGGGGCGTGGGGGCTCTGGGGACACCCGACAGGGAGGGGACATCCCTCAGCGCCGCGCCTTGAGGGCTCTGTGGGCTCTGTGCCGTGGGGGATCCCCGGCACGGCACCACCTGCCAGTGTCCGGGGCCAATGAGGGACCCGCGGGCCACCCCTCGTGTCACCCCCCGTGCCACCCCCGTGCCACCCCCCGCCGCCGCCTCTCCCGTGCCCCGCTCGTTGCCCCGGGCTCAAAGTCCGCGGCCGGAGCGGCCTCGCCACCCGCGGGCAGCGGGCACCGGGCACGGGGCCAGGCGGGCACGGGGCCAGGCAGGCACGGGCATCCGGCCGCGGCCGTGCGGGATCCGGGCTCGGCCGTGCGGGCTCGGGGTGGCGGCTCCGGGCAACCGGGGCGCGGCCGGGCGGGCTCGGGTGCCATTGGTGCCACCTCGGGGTGTGACCGCTGCCACACCGCGGTGCCGGCCGGCCCAAAGCGCGGTGCCAGCTGTCCGGGACAGGGATGGACTCCCTGCCCCCTCTCCCGACCCTGATCCGCAAGAAGCGGGACGGGGAGCGGCTGGAGGACGCCGAGATCCGGAGCTTCGTGCGCGGCGTCACCGAGGGCACGGCGCAGCAGGGACAGATCGGTGCGGGCGGGAGGGACGCGGGGACACCCCGGCCCCGGGGGCAGCGCAGGGAGCGCGAGGGGCGGCACGGCCGGGGACGCGGGCAGGGCCGGGGGACACGGCCAGGGGAGGGACACGGGCACAGGGGGCACCGGGGGCACCGGGGCAGGGGGGTCTCAGCAGTGGGAGGGACAGCAGGGGAAACCCCGGGACGTGTCAGGGTGTCCTGGGCAGGGGACACGGCTGGGGACCACCCTGGGAGGACAAGAGAGGGACTCCAGGACATGGCAGGGGGTCATGAGCAGGGGACACGGCTGGGGGGGAGAGGGGGACCCCAGAGGGTGGCAGAGGGTCCAGGGCATGTGGATGGGTGGGGGTCCTGGGGAGGGCACTGAGGTGGCCCCGCGTGTCCCCGGGTGCCTCGCAAATGGCATCTGGCTGCGGGGCACGGTCGGGTTGGGGACAGGGGAGGTGACATGCGTGTCACCGCAGGGGCCATGCTGATGGCCATCCGGCTGCGGGGCATGGACGCGGGTGAGACCCTGGCCCTGACCCAGGCCATGGCCAGCTCTGGCCGGACGCTGGCCTGGCCGCCCGCCTGGCACGGGCTGCTGGTGGACAAGCACTCAACCGGTGGCGTTGGGGACAAGGTCAGCCTGGCCCTGGCCCCCGCGCTGGCCGCCTGCGGCTGCAAGGTGAGGGGGACGCGGGGATGGGGCGGGGACGGGGGGGTCCCCGAGCCCCTGCGCCCACCCGTGCCCCTCCCCAGGTGCCCATGATCAGCGGGCGCGGGCTGGGCCACACCGGGGGCACCCTGGACAAGCTGGAGGCCATTCCCGGGTTCCGCGTGTCCCAGAGCCCCGAGGAGGTGACGGACGGGGGGTGACGGGTGAGGGACGGGGACACCACGGGCACCCCCACACCCTGTGGGAACCGGGCTCGGGAGCACCGGGGGTGTGGGGGATCACTGTGGGGTGATGAGGGGGTCTCACTGGGGCACCCGTGGGGTGCCAGTGGGGTGTCCATGGGGTCCGAAGAGGGGGTGGATGCCATGGGGTACTGATGGGGTGCAGGTGCCAATGGGTTGTGGGTTCTCACAGGGTCCCAAAAGGGTGCAGGAGATGGGGAGTGCCCGGGGGTGTCCATGGGTGCCGATGCGGTGTCCGTGGGTGTCCGTGGGTTGTGTGGGTGTCCGTGGGGTGCCGATGGGGTGTCCGTGGGGTCCCACGGGACACACACCGTGCCGCAGATGCAGCACATCCTGGCGCGGGTGGGCTGCTGCATCGTGGGGCAGAGCGCGGAGCTGGTGCCCGCCGACCGGGTGCTCTACGGGCTGCGCGACGTCACGGCCACCGTGGACAGCCTGCCCCTCATCACCGGTACGGGCGCGGGCCGCGGGGACACGCGGGGCGCGGGGAGGGACGCCCGGTGACCGCCCCGCCCGGCCCAGCCTCCATCCTCAGCAAGAAGGCGGCGGAGCGGCTCTCGGCGCTGGTGCTCGATGTCAAGTTCGGGGAGGCAGCTCTGTACCCCACCCAGGAGAGCGCGCGGGAGCTGGCGCGGAGCCTGGTGAGACCTCGGGGACCCCCGGGACCCCTGCCCGGCCTGCAGCCCCCTCCCACTGTCCCTGTCCTCTCTGCCTGCTGTCCCGGGCCATTCCCGCTGTCCCTGCTCCTGTCCCTGTCCTTGCTCCTGTCCCTGACCCTGCCCCTGGTTGTCCGTGTCCCCTCGTGTCTCGTCCCTGCCTGCTGTCCCTTGTCCCTGTCTGTTCTCCTTCCCACTGTCCCTGCCTGTCCCTGTTCCTGTCCCTGCTCCTGTCTCTGTCCCCGCTTGTCCCCTATCCCTGCCCTGTCTCTCCCTGCCCACTCTCCCCGCCTGTTGTCCCTGTCCCTGTCCATCCCTATCCCTGCCCGCTGTCCCTGTCCCTGCCCACTGTCCCCTCCCACTGTCCCTGTCCCTGCCCTCTCTCCCTGCCCGCTGTCCCGGGCCATTCCCGCTGTCCCTGCTCCTGTCCCTGTCCTTGCTCCTGTCCCTGACCCTGCCCCTGGTTGTCCGTGTCCCCTCGTGTCTCGTTCCTGCCCACACTCCCTGCTGTCCCTTGTCCCTGTCTGTTCTCCCCACTGCCCCTGCCTGTCCCTGCCCGCTGTCCCTGTCCCTGTTTGTCCCCTATCTCTGTCCCTGTCCCCACGTGTCCCCATCCCTGACCTCTGTCCCTGCGGGCTGTTCCTGTCCCTGCGGGCTGACTCCACCTGTCCATCCCTGTCCCTGGGGCTGTCCCTGTCCTTGTCCATCCCTGTCCCTGTCCATCCCTGTCCCTGGGGCTGTCCCCGCTGTCCCCGCAGGTGGAGGTGGGCGCGCAGCTGGGCACCCGCACCGCGGCGCTGCTGACCCGCATGGAGCAGCCGCTGGGCCGCAACGTGGGCAACGCGCTCGAGGTGCTGGAGGCGCTCGAGTGCCTGCAGGGGGGCGGCCCCCCCGACCTGCGGCACCTGGTCACCGCCCTGGGTCAGTGCGGGACACGGGGGGACACGGGGGGACAGGGGAGGGGGCGGCCCCCCGACCTGCGGCACCTGGTCACCGCCCTGGGTCAGTGCGGGACACGGGGGGACACGGGGGGACACGGGGCAGGACAGGGTCCGCAGACACGGGTCCTGTGTCCGGTCCTGACCCCCCCACCCCGGGGCCCCCACACTCTCTGTCCCCTCCTAAGCCCCGTCCCCCTCTCTCTGCCCCTGTCCCGAGCAGGGGTGGGGGCGCAGAGGGGCAGCGGGGCAGGGTTTGGGGCTCCCCAGGAGTGGGGGTCCCCGTGGGGGTCGCAGCCGTGTCCCGGTTCGGGGTGCAGGTGGGGCGCTGCAGGATGGAGCAGGGGGCTGTGGGGCTGGGGGCGGTGTTTGGGGTCAGGGGGTCCCAGCCGTGTCCCGGTTTGGGGTGCTGCTGTGGCAGTGCGGGAGGGAGCAGGGGGCTGTGGGGCGATGTTTGGGGTCAGGGGGTCCCAGCCCCTTATCCGGTTTGGGGCGCAGGCGGGGTGCTGTGCGGGATGGGGCAAGGAGCAGGGGGCTGTGGGGCAGGATTTGGGGTCAGGGGGTCCCAGCCCCGTTCCCTGTTCGGGGTGCTGCTGTGGCAGTGCGGGATGGGGCAGGGGGCTGTGGGGCAGGGTTTGGGGAGGGGTCCCAGCCGTGTCCCTGTCCGGGGCGCAGGCGGGGTGCTGCTGTGGCAGTGCGGGATGGCCGCGGGGGCCGAGCAGGGCCGTGAGCGCCTGGCCCGGGCTCTGGACGATGGCTCGGCCCTGGGCACGTTCGAGGCCATGCTGGGGGCACAGGGGGTGCCCCCCGACACCGCCCGGACCCTGTGCACCGGGACCCCCGCCCAGCGCCGCCAGCTCCTGGGCCAGGCCAAGGTGTGCGAGGAGCTGCCCGCGCTGCAGGAAGGTCAGAGGGACCCCACCCCAAATTCCCCACCCTCCCTTGTCCCCGTGCCCCTCCGGGGGGCTGACAGTCCCCCCGTTCCCACTGCTCCCGTCCACGGCCATGCCCTCGCCCTCCCCAGGGTGCTCCAGACTCCCCTGGATTATCCCCCCACCCTGAGGGTCCTCACCTGCCCACGCTGCCCCCTCCTCTGTGCTGGGGGGTCCCCGAACTCCCCCATACCCCATACCCTGCCCCTCGAGGGTCCCCGCTTCCCCATGCCGTGTTCCGGGGGTCCTCACCTGTGCCCCCCGCCCCACATCCCTGCGCTGTTCCTGATCCCTGGGGGGTGCCCATACCCTGACCCGCCCGGGCTGGGGGCTCCCCTGTGTCCCCATGTCCCTGAGGCCCCCATATTGGGGATCCCCGCAACGTCCCTGCCCTGCCAAGGCTGGGGGGTCCCCCCTCCGTGTCCCTGATCCCCTTGCCCCCCACTGTCCCTGCCCCTCCAGACCTCCCCGTGTCCCCTTGCTGCTCCCGTGGTCCCCAGGCTGGGGTTTAACCCTGTGTCCCTGTCCCCCCATGTCCCTGTCCCTACCGTGTCCCTGTCCTCCCCGACATATCCCTGTCCCCCCTGTGTCCCCGTCCCCATGTCCCTGTCCCCCCATGTCCCTGTCCCCGTGTCCCTGTCCCCCCCATATCCCTGTCCCCCTGTGTCCCCGTCCCCGTGTCCCCGTCCCCAGGCTGGGTGCAGCAGGTGCGGGCGCTGCCCCTGGCGCGGGTCCTGCACGGCCTGGGCGCGGGCCGGGCGCGGGCCGGGGACCCCGTGAACCCCCGCGTGGGCGCCGAGCTGCTGGTGGGCACCGGGCAGCGCCTGCGGGCAGGTGAGGGCGGCTCCCCACACCCCGTCAGCCCCGAGTGCCCGCGGTCCCTGAGGCCAGCCCCGGCTGGGGTGAACCCCGGTTTGGGGGGGATATCTGGGAGATCAGAGCCCCCCATAACCCTTCAGTGCCCCCTTCCCTCAGGAGAGCCCTGCCTAGGGGCGAACCCCGGTTTGGGGGGGATATCTGGGAGATCAGAGCCCCCCATAACCCCTCAGTGCCCCCTTCCCTCAGGCGAGCCCTGCCTAGGGGTGAACCCCGGTTTGGGGGGATTTCTGGGGGGATCAGAGCCCCCCGATGATCCCTCCCTCAGGCGAGCCCTGACTTGGGGTGCACTCTGAATGGAAGGGATATCTGGGGGGATCAGAGCCCCCATAACCCCTCAGTGCCCCCTTCCCCCAGGCGAGCCCTGCCTAGGGGTGAACCCCGGTTTGGGGGGATTTCTGGGGGATCAGAGCCCCTCGATGATCCCTCCTTCAGGCGAGCCCTGTCCAGGGATGAACCCTGGTTTGGGGGGATATCTGGGGGGATCAGAGCCCCCATAACCTCTCTGTGTCCCCTCCCTCAGGAGAGCCCTGACTTGGGGTGCACTCTGAATAGGAGGGATTTCTGGGGGGATCAGAGCCCCCCGGTAACCCCTCAGTGCCCCCCTCCCTCAGGCGAGCTCTGTCTAGCGATGAACCCCGGTTTGGGGGGATTTCTGGGGGGATCAGAGACCCCCGGTGACCCCCATGTCCCCTTCCCTCAGGGGAGCCCCGTCTGGGGATGAACCGCGGTTTGGGGGGATATCTGGGGGGATCAGAGCCCCCATAACCCCCCCGTCCCCTCCCTCAGGCGAGCCCCGTCTGGGGATGAACCGCGGTTTGGGGGGATATCTGGGGGGATCAGAGCCCCCATAACCCCCCCGCCCCCTCCCTCAGGCGAGCCCTGGCTGCGGGTGCACCATGAGGGGACGCTGGGCGCCGAGGGCCGGCGGGAGCTGCAGGACGCGCTGCGCCTGGGCCCGGAGCCCCCGCGGGACTCGCCGCCGCTGGTGGCCGAGACCATCGTGCCGTCGGGAGCCGTCCCCGCGCCGCGCCGGGGCTCACGGCAGTGATAAATAGAAATAAACCGCAGCGATGGCGACGGCGGGGCCATGTCGCGATAAACACAGCCCCCCCCACGGCTCTGAGGGCAGCGGCGCGGCGCGGCGGCGCCACCTAGTGGTGCAACGGGGAACTGTGCTGTGGCCACGCCCCTCGCGTTGACCACGCCCCCTCGTATTGACCACACCCCGCCCGCCTTGTGGCGCACTATGCAGACCACGCCCTCTCCCGCTGCGGCCCCGCCCCTTTCCGCCGTGGCCCGGGGACAGGGCTGGGGTCCAGGGGAGGGAGGAGGGCTCAGGGGGTATTTGGGGGGCAGGGTTGAGGTCACAGGGGTGGGATGAGGGCTCAGGGGACATTTGGGAGGCAGAATTGGGGTCCCGGAGCAGCAGGATACCGGGTGGGGGACAGGGGGTATTTGGGGGGGTCCAAGGGTATCAGGAGGGATGGGCTGAGGGGTCAGGAGGCATGTGGGGACAGGGTTAGGGTCCAAGAGATGGGATGAGGGCTCAGCGGCGGCGGGCTGGCTGCACCTGCGGCGGCACAAGGAGCGGCAGCAGCGCGCCCGGCAGCTGCGGCAGCTGCGCGCGCTGCCGCTGAGCCAGGCCGACTTCCAGCTGCGGGACGCGGCGGGGACACCGCGCACCAAGGCGGATTTCCGGGGCCGCTGGGTGCTGCTCTACTTCGGCTTCACGCACTGCCCCGACGTGTGCCCCGAGCAGCTGGAGCGGCTGGGCCGCGCCGTGGGCCTGCTGGAGCGCGACGCCGCGCTGCCGCCGCTGCAGCCGCTCTTCGTCACCGTGGACCCCGAGCGCGACGACGCGGCGGCGCTGGCGCGCTACCTGCGCGACTTCCACCCGCGCCTGCTGGGGCTCACGGGCAGCCCCGAGCAGGTGCGCGCCGCCGCCGCCGCCTTCCGCGTCTACGTCAGCGCCGGGCCGCGCGACGCCGACGGCGACTACCTGGTGGACCACTCGGTGCTGACGTTCCTGCTGGACCCCGACGGCGCCTTCCGGGACTGCTACGGGCGCTCGCGCTCGGCCGAGGAGCTGGCGCGCAGCGTCCGCGCGCACATGGAGGCCTACGAGCCGCCCGCCGCCGCGCCGCAATAAACGGCAGCACCGGCAGCCCCGGCCCAGCGGGGCTGTGCTGGGGAGGGAGGGAGGGAGGGATGGCAGCCCGCAGTGTCCCCTGGGTGTGTCACATGGGGGTGACAGGGGCGACGACGCGGCGGCGCTGGCGCGCTACCTGCGCGACTTCCACCCGCGCCTGCTGGGGCTCACGGGCAGCCCCGAGCAGGTGCGCGCCGCCGCCGCCGCCTTCCGCGTCTACGTCAGCGCCGGGCCGCGCGACGCCGACGGCGACTACCTGGTGGACCACTCGGTGCTGACGTTCCTGCTGGACCCCGACGGCGCCTTCCGGGACTGCTACGGGCGCTCGCGCTCGGCCGAGGAGCTGGCGCGCAGCGTCCGCGCGCACATGGAGGCCTACGAGCCGCCCGCCGCCGCGCCGCAATAAACGGCAGCACCGGCAGCCCCGGCCCAGCGGGCTGTGCTGGGGAGGGAGGGAGGGATGGCAGCCCCCAGTGTCCCCTGGGTGTGTCACATGGAGGGGACAGAGCCCACAGCCTGCAGGGGTGGCACATGGAGGACAGGTGACAGTCCCCAGTGTCCCCCAGGTGTGTCCCATGGGGGTGACAGAGCCCTGCAGAGCCCACACTGGACAGGGGTGGCACATGGAGGACAGATGACACCTCCATCGTCCCCCAGGTGTGTCAAGTGGGAGGGACAGAGCCCACACCCTGCAGGGGTGGCACATGGAGGGGGACATCTGGCACCTCCAGTGTCCCCTAGCTGTGTCCTGTTGGAGGGACAGAACCCACACCCTGCAGGGGTGGCACATGGAGGACAGATGACACTTCCAGCGTCCCCCAGGTGTGTCCTGTGGGAGGGACAGAACCCTGCAGAGCCCACACCCTGCAGGGGTGACACATGGAGGACAGCTGACAGTCCCCAGTGTCCCTCAGGTGTGTCCCATGGGGGTGACAGAGCCCACACCCTGCAGGGGTGGCACATGGAGGGGGACATCTGGCACCTCCAGTGTCCCCTAGCTGTGTCCTGTTGGAGGGACAGAACCCACACCCTGCAGGGGTGGCACATGGAGGACAGATGACACTTCCAGCGTCCCCCAGGTGTGTCCTGTGGGAGGGACAGAACCCTGCAGAGCCCACACCCTGCAGGGCTGGCACATGGAGGACAGCTGGCAGCCCGCAGTGTCCCCCAGGTGTGTCCCATGATGGAGACAGAGCCCACGCCCTGCAGGGCTGGCACATGGAGGGGGACATCTGGCACCTCCAGTGTCCCCTAGCTGTGTCCTGTTGGAGGGACAGAACCCACACCCTGCAGGGGTGGCACATGGAGGACAGCTGACAGTCCCCAGTGTCCCTCAGGTGTGTCCCATGGGGGTGACAGAGCCCACACCAGACAAGGGTGGCACATGGAGGACAGGTGACACCTCCAGGGTCCCTCAGGTATGTTCTGTGGGACAGACAGCCCTGACAGAGCCCACGCCCTGCAGGGCTGGCACATGGAGGACAGCTGACAGTCCCCAGTGTCCCTCAGGTGTGTCCCATGGGGGTGACAGAGCCCACACCCTGCAGGGGTGACACATGGAGGACACCTGACAGTCCCCAGTGTCCCTCAGGTGTGTCCCATGGGGGTGACAGAGCCCACACCTGCAGGGGTGTCAGATGGCAAGAAGGGGACACCTGACAGCCCCCAGTGTCCCTCAGGTGTGTCCTGTTGGAGGGACACAGCCCACATCCCCCAAGGGGTGTCACATGGCAGGGAAGGGACACCTGACAGCCCCCAGTGTCCCTCAGGTGTGTCCTGTTGGAGGGACACAGCCCACATCCCCCAAGGGGTGTCACATGGCAGGGAAGGGACACCTGACAGCCCCCAGTGTCCCTCAGGTGTGTCCTGTTGGAGGGACACAGCCCACATCCCCCAAGGGGTGTCACATGGCAGGGAAGGGACACCTGACAGCCCCCAGTGTCCCCAGGAATGAGGGGTGAGGAAGGTTTTGAGTGGGCAGGTGGAGCGACCCCCAGGTGTGTCCTGTGAGGGGGAGAACGTGGGTGGGTGGGTGGAGGGACCCCCCCCAGACCCCCCCTGTCCCCAGCAGTGTCACATGGCAGGGAGGGACCCCTGCAGCCCCCCAGGAGTGTCCCGTGAGGCGGGGGGCTCTGCACAGGTGAGTGAAGTGACCCCTTCCAAAGGGAGACAAGGTAGGGGGGCAGAGGGACCCCCAACCTCTCACCCCCTGCAGCCCCCTCCCCATGGCTGGGGGTCCCTGTGCAGGTGACTGAAGTGACCCCTGCAGCCCCCCAGCCCCCTCCCCGTGGCCGGGGTCCCTGTGCAGGTGATGAAGTGACCCCTCCCCATGGCTGGGGTCCCTGTGCAGGTGACTGAAGTGACCCCTCACCCCTGCAGCCCCCTCCCCATGGCTGGGGTCCCTGTGCAGGTGACTGAAGTGACCCCTGCAGCCCCCCAGACCCCTCCCCGTGGCTGGGGGTCCCTGTGCAGGTGACTGAAGTGACCCCTCACCCCTGCAGCCCCCTCCCCATGGCTGGGGTCCCTGTGCAGGTGACTGAAGTGACCCCTGCAGCCCCCCAGACCCCTCCCCACAAACCCCGTGCAGCCGAATCCCGTGACCCCCCACCGCATCCCCCCCACCACCCCGAGGTGAGAGGCCCCTCCTTAGCAAAGGGGGCTTTATTGGGGGCCGGGGTCTCTCTGGGAGGGCAGCTGCAGGTGCTGGAACCTCTCGTGCGCCGGGCGGGCCGAGAGCAGCCGCAGCCGCGCCGTGTCCAGCGCCGCCTCCAGCCCCGGCTCCTGCTCCAGCTCCACCTCCTCGTCGTTGGCCTAGGGAGGGGACACGGGGTGGCACGGGGGGCCTGGCACAGCCAGCGACCCCCCCAGGGAGCCCCCAAAGCCTTACCAGCTGCAGCGAGGCCAGCAGGTAGCGGCACACCTCGAACGGGGGCTGCCCGGCCACCAGGCTGGCCAGAGAGTGCCACTGGCCCAGCTCCGCGCAGCGCCCGGTCAGCTGCTGCCCGTAGGCACGGACGTCGAACGGGGCACGGCCCTCCTGGGGGACAGAGGGACACAGAGGGTCAGGGAGTGTCACTGGTCAGTGCCAGCCCATGGGCACGGACGTCGAACGGGGCACGGCCCTCCTGGGGGACAGAGGGGACACAGAGGGTCAGGGAGTGCCACCCGTCAGTGCCAGCCCATGGGCACGGACATCGAACGGGGCACGGCTCTCCTGGGGGACACTGAGGGGACAGGGAGGGTCACTGGCCAGTGCCAGCCCATGGGCACGGACATCGAACGGGGCACGGCCCTCCTGGGGGACAGAGGGACAGGGAGGGTCAGGGAGTGCCACCCGTCAGTGCCAGCCCATGGGCACAGACGTCGAACGGGGCACAGCTCTCCTGGGGGACAGTGGGGGGACAGGGAGGGTCACCTGTCAGTGCCAGCCCCTACCCACGGACATGGAACAGGGCACAGAACTCCTGCAGGTAAGAGGGACAGGGAGGGGCAGGGGTGGAGAAAGGGTTCAGGGGAGGCTCAGGTGTGGGTACGGGGTGCTCTGGGGCAGGTACAGGGGACTCTGGGGCGGGTACGGGGTGCTCTGGTACGGGGGGTGGGCAGTGAAGGGCAGAGGGCTCGGGGGTGGGTACCAGGAGTTCAGGTACGAGCAGAGGGACCCAGGGGCAGCAGGCAGTGCCAGCCCCCTGCCCAGCTCAGGCAGTGCCCCCCAGCCCAGCCCGGGCACGTGCCTGCTCCTGCAGCAGCGGCTCCACGCGCTCCTCCCACTGCCGGATGCGCTGCGACAGCTCCGTCTCCTGCGCGAACTTCTGGGAGCTGGCCATGAACAGCTCCTGGGGACAGGGACAGCCGTGGGGACACGCCCAGCCTCCTGGGGACACCCCCAGCCTCCTGGGGACACCCCCAGCCTCCTGGGGACCCCCTGACCGGCCGGAGGCACCCCCAGGTCCCCGCAGCAGCACCTACCACGTTCCTGCGCACCAGCTCCTCGTAGCCAGGCTCAGGGGAGTCTGTGGGAAAAGGGGTCACCAGAGGTGGGGACAGCACCCGGCCACTCCATGGGAGGGACAGGGGAGCTGGGGACTGGGGAGGGGAGGGTCAGCAGCTCACCCAGGTTTCTCTCCTCCAGCTCCTCTGGAGGAGCCTCGGGCTCCATGTCCTCGTGCTCCACAAAATCATCATCTGCCAGGATGGGGACACCACTCAGTGTCCCCTGAGACCCCCTCAGTGCCCCCTGAGATCCCCCAACCTTCTGGGACTCTCCCAGACCCCCAGGAGGGAAAGAAAGGCTCCCCAGGCAGGGGGGATTTGGGGTTTTGGGTTCCAGCACCTGCCCCATCCTCGCTGTCAGCCCCGCGCTCCTGCTCCAGCTCTGGCTCCAGCTCCCTCGGCAGCACCTGGGGGGAGGAACAGCCCTGAGCACCCCCAGGGCACGGCAAGGGGGTCCTGGAGCCCCCTGCCCCCCCAGTTTAGCCCCCACCCCACTCACCCCCCGGCTCCGGAGCTTCCTGTGCGCCGCCATCCGCTCCTTGAAATGCCGCCAGTACAGCACCTCCAGGTCTGCAGGGATTGGGAGCAGGCATTTGGGATGGCCCCTCTGTGCCCCCCAAAGCAGAACCCCTCAAGGCATCCCAGGCCCTTCTCCTTTGCCCCCAGTGTCCACTGCCCCCAGTTTTGGGGTGTCCTTCCCTCCATGCCCTCCCCAGTGCAGGATCCAGTCCCTGGTGTCCATTCCCCCCAGTTTTTGGGGTGTCCTTCCCTCCATGCCCTCCCCAGTGCAGGCTCCAGTCCCTGGTGTCCATTGCCCCCAGTTTTGGGGTGTCCTTCCCTCCATGCCCTCCCCAGTGCAGGCTCCAGTCCCTGGTGTCCATTCCCCCCAGTTTTTGGGATGTCCTTCCTCTCCTTCCTATCCCATTGCAGGATCCAGTCCCTGGTGTCCCCTCCCTGTTTTGGGGTGTCCTTCCCCTCCATGCCCTGTCCACTGCAGGATCCACTCCCTGGTATCCATTGCCCCCTGTTTTGGGGTGTCCTTCCCTCCATGCCCTCCCCAGTGCAGGCTCCAGTCCCTGGTGTCCATTGCCCCCAGTTTTTGGGGTGTCCTTCCTCTCCTTCCTACCCCATTGCAGGATCCACTCCCTGGTGTCCTCCCCCAGTTTTGGGGTGTCCTTCCCCTCCATGCCCTCCCCAGTGCAGGATTAATTCCCTGTGTCCATTCCCCCCAGTTTTGGGGTGTCCTTCCCCTCCATGCCCTCCCCAGTGCAGGATTAATTCCCTGTGTCCATTCCCCCCAGTTTTGGGGTGTCCTTCCCCTCCATGCCCTGCTCATTGCAGGATGCAGTCCCTGGTGTCCATTCCCCACTGCAGGATTCATTCCCTGTGTCCATTCCCCCCAGTTTTGGGGTGTCCTTCCCTCCATGCCCTCCCCAGTGCAGGATTCATTCCCTGTGTCCATTCCCCCCAGTTTTGGGGTGTCCTTCCCTCCATGCCCTCCCCAGTGCAGGCTCCAGTCCCTGGTGTCCCCCAGGACAGGGAATGTGTCCCTCCCTGCCCGTGTCCCCTCACCTGCAAAGGTGGGGCCATTCCTCCTGCTCTTCCGGCTCTCTGTGACATTGTTGTCTGGGGGGAGCAGATCAGGAATAATCATTGGATGGAAATTCCATGGATTTATCAAAGTTCGAAATGCCCTCTGAGCCCATCGAGTCCCCCCAGCACTGCCAAGGCCACCCCTGCCCGTGTCCCCAAGTGCCACATACACAGGGCTGTTAAAGGTTTTTAACTTCTGCTAAAGGTTTTTAAATCCTTTTGGAGCCCAATCCCACAGGAATCACTCACAGGCTGCAGAAAACCATCTGGTGAAATCCTGGAGCTTCCTCGGGCCCCTCCTCTTCCTCTTGCCTCCAATCACATCATCCAGGCCGTGTGGCACCTGGAAGGGCCTCCCTGCAGGTGACAGAGGTGACACCAGGCGTGGGGCCACCGCGAGGGGCTGGCAAGGGGACGGGGCCCCTCTGGATGTCGTGGGGCTGGAATGACCCAGCGTGGGGACAGGGACACCTGAGGACATCCAGGGTTGCTGGGAGTGACCCACTGTGGGGCTGGGGATGGGACCTGCCATGGGGATGGGGACATGGGGCTGGGAATGACCCTCTGTGGGACTGGGAATGACCCCCTGTGGGACTAGGAATGACCTGCCATGGGGATGGGGACGTGGGGCTGGGAATGACCCCGCTGTGGGACTGGGAATGTCCCTCCATGAGCTGGGAATGTCCCCCTGTGGGACTGGGAATGACCTGCCATGGGGATGGGACATGTGGGACTGGGAATGTCCCTCCATGAGCTGGGAATGTCCCCCTGTAGGACCAGGAATATCCCTCTGGGGGACTGGGGACACTGAGGGACACACAGCCAGGAATGACCCTCTGTGGGACCACGAGTGACACTCCCGTGGGACTGGGAAGGACCCACCATGGGGCTGGGAATACTGAGGGATATGGGGCTGGGAATGACCCGCTGTGGGCCTGGGGACACTGAGGGACACGTGACAGGAATGAGCTCCCCATTTTCCCCCCATTTTCCTCCAAAAATACCTTTCCTGAAGGGCTTCTCCTCAGAGTCTCCGAAGGGGTCGAGGCTCTGCCACGGATTGGGCTCCTCCTGGCACAGGGGTGAGGATGGGCAGGGGCCCTGGGGCATCCCAGGGAGTCCCATCCTGCCCGGATTTGGGATTTCCCTGGCTCAGATTTGGGATCTGCCTGGCTCCAGGCCCCCCCCCTTACCTTGCTGAGGGCTTTGGGGTCCTGGCTGGGGGGTCTCTCCCGCAGGACGTACCCCCGGGTCCGGGGCGTGCTCTGGGGGACACAGAGAGGGACATGAGGGGCTGGGGGGATCCAGGGAAGGAGCACAGCCCCCCCAAGCCCCACACAGACCCTCTGAGCCACGATGTGCTCGTTGGGGACCGGGGTCACTTCCATGTCATCCTCCAGGACTGCAGGAAGGTCGTCATCCTCAGGTCCTTCAGCACCTGGAGGGGTGGCAATGGGCAGAGGCTGGAGAAGCTTCCAGGACCCCCCATTCCCACCCTGTCTGCCAAGGAATCTCCCCAGGAGTTCTCCTGCCAGGGCCAAGGGACAGCAGAGGGCAGGAGCAGGGAATGGTGTAGTTGGTTGGGTTGGAAAATCCCTCAGAGCCCAAATCCAACCACCCCCAGCACTGCCAGGGCCACCACAGGCCCTGTCCCCAAGTGCCACATCCACAGGGACGTTAAACCCCTCCAGGGACAGGAACCCCACCCCTGTGCCAGGGCTGCACAGCCCTTTCCAGGAGGAATTTCCCCAAAATCCCCCCTGAGCTGCCCTGGCCCAGCCTGAGGCCGTTCCCTCTCTCCTGTCCCTGTCCCCTGGGAGCACAGCCCCTCGTGGCAGGGCTGAATTCACCCCTCACCCTCCTCTCCAGTGCCCTGGGTGGCCACGGGGACCCCAGGAGAGCGCGGGCAGGTGCCACCCCTCACCTGCCTCCTCGCAGAAGCTCAGTGCCCGCGCCAGGGCCGTGCCAGAGCCGGGGCGCTGCGCGGGGCTGGACGCTGGAGCCGCTGCGGGGACAGCCACGGGTGAGTCCTGGCAGGGACAGCGACAGCCACACGGCCACCCCGGAGCCCCCGGTACCTGTGGCTGTCCCCAGGCCCGGCTCCTGCCGCGGGTGGGTGGGGGAGAGCCCGGCCAGCTCCAGCAGGAAGGCGCCGCAGGCGTGGGGGGTGGAGGTGTTCATGCGGAAATCGCGGCGGCTGGCCAGCACCTCGCCGCGCCGGCTGCGGGACAGGCAGGCCCCTGTCCCCTGTCCCCACTGTCCCCAGCGTCCCCTGGGCCAGCCACGGGCCGGCCCAGCCACAGCCCGGCCCTCCCAGCAGCACGGGACCGGCCTGGATGGCCCCGCACACCCGGGATCTTCCTGCTCCTCCACAGATCCCAGCAGGATTGTGTGTTTGGGCTGAGGGACCCGGGCTGGAGCAGGGCAGGGGACACGGGACAAGGCCAGCAGGGGAGGGGACAGGGACAATCCCACCGGGGACTGGAGCAGGGCAGGGGACACGGGACAATCCCAGCAGGGACTGGAGCAGGGCAGGGGACAGGGGACAATCCCACCGGGGACTGGAGCAGGGCAGGGGACACGGGACAATCCCAGCAGGGACTGGAGCAGGGCAGGGGACAGGGACAATCCCACCGGGGACTGGAGCAGGGCAGGGGACACGGGACAATCCCAGCAGGGACTGGAGCAGGGGAGGGGACACAGGACAATCACACCCAGGGCAGGGGACACGGGACAATCCCACCCAGGGGAGAGGACACGGGACGCCCGCCCAGCTCCAGCAGGAAGGCGCCGCAGGCGTGGGGGGTGGAGGTGTTCATGCGGAAATCGCGGCGGCTGGCCAGCACCTCGCCGCGCCGGCTGCGGGACAGGCAGGCCCCTGTCCCCGCTGTCCCCGCTGTCCCCAGCGTCCCCTGGGCCAGCCACGGGCCGGCCCAGCCACAGCCCGGCCCTCCCAGCAGCACGGGACTGGCCTGGATGGCCCCGCACACCCGGGATCTTCCTGCTCCTCCACAGATCCCAGCAGGATTGCGTGTTTGGGCTGAGGGACCCGGGCTGGAGCAGGGCAGGGGACACGGGACAAGCCCAGCAGGGGAGGGGACAGGGACAATCCCACCGGGGACTGGAGCAGGGCAGGGGACACGGGACAATCCCAGCAGGGACTGGAGCAGGGGAGGGGACACAGGACAATCACACCCAGGGCAGGGGACACGGGACAATCCCACCCAGGGGAGAGGACACGGGACAAGCCCACCCAGGGCAGGGGACATGGGACAAGCCCACCCAGGGACTGGAGCAGGGCAGGGGACACCCAGGGAACGGGACACATGACAATTCCATTGGGAGAGGGGACACAGGACCATCCCAGCAGGGACTGGAGGGGACTGGAGCAGGGGAGGGAACATGGGACAATCCCACCCAGGGGAGGGGACACGGGACAAGCCCAAGAGTGGCACCTCAGGAGGGGGTTTTCCTTCTTCTCCCCCTCTTCCGGGGGCACCAGGGACATCGGGGTCAGGGGAACGATGTTCACGGCCTGGGAAGGGACAGGGAGGTGGCAGAGAACCTGGGAAAGGTGTCATTGTCCCCAGGGCCACCACCCTGGCTGGATGGCCCCGGGATTCACCCGGGAAATGCTGCCATGCAGGGGAGAAAAGGAGAAAAGGAGGGAGAAAGGGAGGGATAAAAAAAGGGATAAAAGGAAGAAAATGAGGCAAAAGGAAAGAGAAAAGGAGTGGGAAAGGCAGGGATAAAAAAGAAGAGTAGAAAGAGGGGGGAAAAGGAGGAATAAAAACAGGGAGAAAAGAAGGGTGAAAGGGAGGGATAAAAAAGGGGATAAGAGGAAGAAAAAGAGAAAAAATGAGAGAGAAAAAGAGGAGAAAAGGCAGGGATAAAAGAGAGAAAGAAAAAGAAAAGGAGGAATAAAAAGAGGGAGAAAGAGGGGGGAAGGGAGGGAGAAAAGGAAAAAAAGGAGGGAAAAAAGGAGGAAGGAGAGATAAACCAAGGAATAAAAGGAGGGATAAAAGGAGGAAAAAGAGAAATAAAAGGAGGCATAAAATGCAACTGGTTCCTCTTACGGCAGGCTGCTGGTCCCCCCTCATGTTCACGCTGGCCTGGCTGGTTTCTGGGATGTCATCCAGGGACAGGAACTGCAGGACAGCCCCCCAGTGTCAGCCCAGCTGGCAGGGACACCGAGGGACCCCCGGAGCAGGGCAGGGAGCACAGAGCCCTCCTCACCTCCTCCTCCCTGTCCGTGAAGGTGGCGTCGGCGTCGCGGCCGTCGGGGCCCAGGGAAGAGGGCAGCTTCTCCTTCCTAGGGAAAAATGGGCTCAGGATCCCTGGGATGGGCAAAGGGTCCCTCCAGCCCTGCTGCGGCCCCTCCAGGTGGGAAAATCCCAAAAAACAACGGGGTTTTCCCTCTTGCTCGTGTCAGGGTGAAAGTCTGAACGAGCTGGCAGCACATTCCTTTTGGAAAAGGGATTTTCCTTTTGGAAAAGGCTCCCCCAGGCTCCTCTGGACTCCAGGAGGAAAACCATCCCTGGTTTTGTGTGTTATCATCCCTGTGATGGCATTCCTAAGCCTGGGATGCAGCTCCCAGGGCAGGGATGGGAGTGGGGATGGCCCAGGATCAGGGCAGCACCGGGACAGACCCAGGGCAGGGGTTCTGCAGGACAAATCCCCCTCTGGGAAGGGAAAATCCCACTCACTTTTTCTTGGAGATGCAGTCCAGTGTCTGGCAGACCAGCATGTACAGGTATTCCACCTGGAAAGCAGCAGCTGGGGCTGGGAAAAGGGGAGCAGCTCCTGGGAAAGCCCCCCCACCCGAGAGATCCCCCTCCCACTATGGAGGTCAATTCCATGGGGTTTGGTGCTCTTTTCCCTTTCTTCCTGCTGTTCCAAGGCCAGACTGGGGGAAATCCCTGGAGCTGGAGCAGCCTGGGACACTGGGAGGAGTCCCTGCCCATGGTGGCACTGGAGGGGCTTTGAGGTCCCCTCCCACCCAAACCATTCTGGGATTTGTGGTCAAAAAGCTCCAACATCCCAGGATTTTGTGACAAAACAGGATTTTATATCCCACCCTGCAGAACAGCAGAATTCCTGCTGTTCCCTGGGGCTGCCAACACCTAAAAGGGATCAAATTTCGGAACAACAAAATCCCTTCATCCCCACTCAGGACTGGAAGCCAAGGGGCGTTCTGGGGTCCTCCCCTCTGGGTTATTTTGGGGGTTCTCAGCTCCTGGCTGAGCCCCCACCCCACTGCAGCCCTGCAGAGCTGCTTGTGCCTCTCAAACACAGCAGGACTTCCACACCAAGAGTCTGGATTTGTCTGAGCTCTGTCATATGCTGGTCTCATTGTGTTTTATGACCTTTAATTAATTAAGCTTCATAAAATTCTAATCATGCTGGAAATATTAATCCTGTTTTAAATTAACTGGCCAAAGAGAGGTGAAATGTCTTAGCAGCTGTGGGTACCTGATTTGAACCCTGACGTCCTCCAGCCTTGCTGTAACCCAGCAGGAAGGTTCAGCTCCCACAGGAATTCAGGTGGAGCCTGAAGCTCCCGTGCTGAATTCTTCCTATTGCACGAGGATGTGACCCTGAGCAAGCCACGCTTGTCTTGTCCCAGGACCAGCACAGCTCTGCTTTGGGAGCAGTTTGGGTAGAAGCAGGAGCGAGAATTCCCTCTCCTCCCGGCTGCCAAAACCTTTCACGACTCCTTAATTCCTTTCACACAAGTGCAGAAGGCAGTCCTATTTTATCAGTCTTAGCCTGGGACTTCTTGGCATTAACTGACTGGTAATTTTCTTTGGAAGGAAAGTTTGTAAGAGGTTATTTAAAGCTCTGCTGCACCTCCCTAGCGAGGTGTACCAAATCTCTGTCCTTCCGAGGAGGGAGGCGGCCTGAGGAGAATGTGAGTCCTGTTCTCACTGAGCTCAGCCAGGCAGGGCTGGGGTTCCAGGGTGCTGGAAACATGCAGGGGATGCAGGAAACACTGCAGGGGATGCTGCAAACACTGCATTTCTGTCTGTGTGTGAGTCCTGTCTCACTGAGCCTGCAGCCAGGCAGCATGGCTGGGATCAGGATCTGCTCCACGCTGTTCATGGAACGAAAGGGATCAAATGAGTAACGAGTTCTGCTGAGCTCTTCAGTGCTCCCTCTGTGCCAAAACTGCTGAGCTGCAGTGAAACGGGTCATCAGGGGCTCCAGAAAGCAATATGGGATGGATGGGATGGGATGGGATGGGATGGGGTGGGATGGGATGGGGTGGGATGTGGGGCAGGGATGGGATGGGATGGCTCAGGATGGGGTGGCATGGGGCAGGGCCAGCTGTGTGCTCACCTTCCTGCTGTAGATGCAGGCAGAGCCCTGGATCAGCAGTGCTGCCTCCATGAAGTTCATGGTGGTCTTGCCGTTGTCGAAGGAAATGCAGATCTGGTCCAGCTGGAGGGGCAGGGGGGTTTATTTTAGATTTCTGGGGCAGCTGAGAGGTGTTTGGAAAGGTTTTATTCTATCATCAGTCTCCATGAAGGGTGAGACATCAGAGATGTAAAACTCAGCTACCTTATTTCCTGGTTACAATGCCTTATAAATATTTCCCACTCTGCCACATAATAGTGCTGTTAATTCTAACATTAATCACTTCTGTTTTCACTCCACGTGGTCTTGCTACCATGCATCTTGCCCGGTTTTAATTCTCTAAAATTAATTTTTAAATTAAATTAAAATTTTAATTATTTAAAATTCCTCTTTAAGGCTGTATTCTGAAATTTGTTTCTAGTCCAATTTCTCTCTCAACAACACCATTTCTATTTTATGGCTTTGGCCAGCACGCCTTGTTTCAGTGTTTGTGTGCAGATGTGTAAAACTGTGAGAGCTTTCTGTGAGGCTCTGGGAATTCTCCACCAATCTGTTCCTCAGGGGCAGGGAGGAGAGGCTGAGCCTGGCAGGGACAGGGATGAGGGAAGGGGGCATTGTCCCCAGGGCCACCACCCCCAGTGGATGGCCTGGCATTGACCCGGGAAATGGGGCTGTGCAGGGAGAAAGGGAGGGGAAAGAGAGGGAGAAAAGGAAGAAAAGGAGGGATAAATAGAGGGATAAAAGGAGGGAAAACGAGAGAGGAAAGGGATGGAGGAAAAAGAGAGAGAAAAGGAGGAATAAAAAGAGGGCGAAAAGGAGAGGAAAAATGAGGAATAAAAGGGAGAAAAGGAGGGATGGGAAAAGGGATAAAAGAAAAGGAGGGAAAAGCAGAGAGAAAAGGATGTGCAAAAAGAGGAATAAAAGGAGGAAAAAGGAGAAAAGGAGGGGTAAGAAAGGGATAAAAGGAAGAAAACGAAACATGGAAAGAGGGATAAAAGGCAGAAAATGTGGAAAAATGAGAGAGAAAATGAGGGGGAAAGAGGAATAAAAGGAAGAAAAGGAGGAAAGAGGGGAGAGAAAAGGAGGAATAAAAAGGGAGAAAACAAAGGAGAAAGAGAGGGATAAAAAATTAAAAGGAGGTAAAAGGAGAGAGAGGAGTCCCTGCCCATGGTGGCACTGGAGGGGCTTTGAGGGAAGGATAAAAGGAGAGAGAAAAGGAGGAGAAAGAGAGGGATAAAAGGAAGAAAAGGAGGAAAAAGGAGGGAGAAAGAGAGGGATAAAAGCAAGAAAAGGAGGAAAAAGGAGGGAGGGATGGGAAAAGGGATAAAAGAAAAGGAGGGAAAAGCAGAGAGAAAAGGATGTGCAAAAAGAGGAATAAAAGGAGGAAAAAGGAGAAAAGGAGGGGTAAGAAAGGGATAAAAGGAAGAAAACGAAACATGGAAAGAGGGATAAAAGGCAGAAAATGTGGAAAAATGAGAGAGAAAATGAGGGGGAAAGAGGAATAAAAGGAAGAAAAGGAGGAAAGAGGGGAGAGAAAAGGAGGAATAAAAAGGGAGAAAACAAAGGAGAAAGAGAGAGATAAAAAATTAAAAGGAGGTAAAAGGAGAGAGAAGACAAGGAATAAAAAGAGGGAGAAAAGGAAGGGAAAGAGAAGGATAAAAGGAGAGAGAAAAGGAGGAGAAAGAGAGGGATAAAAGGAAGAAAAGGAGGAAAAAGGAGGGAGAAAGAGAGGGATAAAAGCAAGAAAAGGAAGAAAAATGAGAGAGAAAAGGAGGGATAAAAAGAGGGGGAAAGAGAGGGACAAAAGAAAGAAAAGAGAGGAAGACAAGAAAGAGAATGATAAAAGGAGAGAGAAAAGGAGGGGGAAGAGAGGGATAAAAAGAAGAAAAGGAGGGATGGAAAGAGATAAAAGGAAGAAAAAGAGGAAAACACAGAAGACAAGGAATAAACAGAGGGAGAAAAGGAAGAGAAGAAGACAAGGAATAAAAAGAGGGAGAAAAGGAAGGGAAAGAGAAGGATAAAAGGAGAGAGAAAAGGAGGAGAAAGAGAGGGATAAAAGCAAGAAAAGGAGGAAAAAGGAGGGAGAAAGAGAGGGATAAAAGCAAGAAAAGGAAGAAAAATGAGAGAGAAAAGGAGGGATAAAAAGAGGGGGAAAGAGAGGGACAAAAGAAAGAAAAGAGAGGAAGACAATGAGGGGAAAGAGAAGGATAAAAGGAGAGAGAAAAGGAGGGGGAAGAGAGGGATAAAAAGAAGAAAAGGAGGGATGGAAAGAGATAAAAGGAAGAAAAAGAGGAAAACACAGAAGACAAGGAATAAAAAGAGGGAGAAAAGGAAGAGAGAGAGAAGGATAAAAGCAGAGAGCAAAGGAGGGGCAGGGGCCACGAGGGGCTCTGGGGTGACCCCGTTACCTCCTCCAGGTACTCGCCCAGCTGGGCAGCCACGTCCACCTCCCAGTTCTTGGTGAGGTCACGGATGGGCTGCAGCAGGTGCAGGAAGCGGGAATCCACCTCCTCCATGGCGGCACCCTGCTGCAGACCCCAGAAACGGCCTGCAAGCGCCCAGCTCTGCAGGAGGGCTCCCTCAGGGGCTCGGGGTGCTGGGCTGGGGCAGGGCACAGCCCCGGGCAAGCTCTGCGGGAGTCACAGCTGGGCTGGGGGAACGGGACACGGCTCAGGGAACGGGAATTGTTTGGGCTGGGAAGTCCCCACCCCAACAGCAACCCCAGTTCTGACACACAGATCCCAATGCCACTGCCAAGCCTGGGCCTGACCCTGACCCTGACTGTGACCCCAACCCCAGTCCTGACCCCAACCCCAGTCCCAGCCATGATTCTCACTGCAACTGTGATCCCAATCCTGACCTGATCCTGTCATCCCAAACCCAATCCTGACCTGATCCTGACCCTGACTGTGACCCCAACCCCAGTCCTGACCCCAACCCCAGTCCCAGCCATGATTCTCACTGCAACTGTGATCCCAATCCTGACCTGATCCTGTCATCCCAAACCCAATCCTGACCTGATCCTGACCCTGACTGTGACCCCAACCCCAGTCCTGACCCCAACCCCAGTCCCAGCCATGATTCTCACTGCAACTGTGATCCCAATCCTGTGACCTGATCCTGACTGTGATCCCAATCCTGACCTGATCCTGACCCTGACTGTGACCCCAACCCCAGTCCTGACCCCAACCCCAGTCCCAGCCATGATTCTCACTGCAACTGTGATCCCAATCCTGACCTGATCCTGACCCTGACTGTGACCCCAACCCCAGTCCTGACCTGATCCTGACTGTGATCCCAATCCTGACCTGATCCTGATCCTGACTGTGACCCCAACCCCAATCCTGACCCCAGCCCCAGCCCTGATTCTCACTCCGACTCTGATCCCAGTCCTGACCTGACCCTGACCCCAACCCCAGTCCCAACCCTGACCCCGACCCCAATCTGGAACCCAGTCCCAACCCTGATCCCGCTCCCCCAATCATCCCAGTCCCATCCCCTATCCCAACCCCTCGCCTGACCCCAACCCCAAATCCCATCCCTAACTCCGCTCCAGTCCCGATCCCAACCTCAACCCCGATCCCAACCCCAGCTTCAGTTCCAGTCTTAATCCCGATCCCCGTGCAGACCCCGACCCCAATTCCCATCCCTAACTCTGCCCCAACTGTGCTCCCAACCTCGATCCCGGTCCCGGTTCCCTTCCAATCCTCAGTCCCGACCCTGATCCCGATCCCGGCCCCATCTAAACCTCAATCTCCACTGTGATCCCAATCCCGATCCCGGTGCCCATCCAGACCTCGATCCAATCGTGATCCCAATCCCGATCCTGGTCCCCATTCAATCCTCAATCCTGACCGTGATCCCGGTTCCCATCCCGACCTCAATCCCGACTGTGATCCCGATCCCGGTCCCCATCCCGACCTCAGTCTCCACCGTGATCCCGACCCGATCCCGGTGCCCTTCCAAACCTGGATCCCGACCCCGGTCCCCATCCCAACCTCGACCTCGATCCCGGTCCCGCCCGTTTCCCCAATGCCGGTCCCGCTTCCTGTCCCGATCCCGCCCGTTTCCCCGGTTCCTGTCCCGTTTCCCCGCTCCCGGTGCCGTTTCCCCGGTTCCTGTCCCGTTTCCCCGCTCCCTGTCCCGTTTCCCCGGTGCCGTTTCCCCGCTCCCTGTCCCGTTTCCCCGGTGATCCTGACCCTGACTGTGACCCCAACCCCAGTCCTGACCTGATCCTCACTGTGATCCCAATCCTGACCTGATCCTGACCCTGACTGTGACCCCAACCCCAGTCCTGACCCCAACCCCAGTCCTGACCTGATCCTGACCCTGACTGTGACCCCAATCCCAGTCCTGACCCCAACTCTGACCCTGATTCTCACTCCGACTCTGATCCCAGTCCTGACCTGACCCTGACCCCAACCCCAGTCCCAACCCTGACCCCGACCCCAATCTGGAACCCAGTCCCAACCCTGATCCCGCTCCCCCAATCATCCCAGTCCCATCCCCTATCCCAACCCCTCGCCTGACCCCGACCCCAAATCCCATCCCTAACTCTGCTCCAGTCCCGATCCCAACCTCAACCCCGATCCCAACCCCAGCTTCAGTTCCAGTCTTAATCCCGATCCCCGTGCAGACCCCGACCCCAATTCCCATCCCTAACTCTGCCCCAACTGTGCTCCCAACCTCGATCCCGGTCCCGGTTCCCTTCCAATCCTCAGTCCCGACCCTGATCCCGATCCCGGCCCCATCTAAACCTCAATCTCCACTGTGATCCCAATCCCGATCCCGGTGCCCATCCAGACCTCGATCCAATCGTGATCCCAATCCCGATCCTGGTCCCCATTCAATCCTCAATCCTGACCGTGATCCCGGTTCCCATCCCGACCTCAATCCCGACTGTGATCCCGATCCCGGTCCCCATCCACACCTCGATCCCGACTGTGATCCCAATCCTGATCCCGATCCCGGTTCCCTTCCAATCCTCAATCCCGACCCTGATTCCGACCCCGGTCCCCATCCCGACCTCGACCTCGATCCCGGTCCCGCCCGTTTCCCCAATGCCGGTCCCGCTTCCTGTCCCGATCCCGCCCGTTTCCCCGGTCCCGATGCCGGTCCCGATCCCGTTTCCCCGGTCCCACTCCCGGTGCCGTTTCCCCGGTGCCGGTGCCGTGTCCCCGCTCCCTGTCCCGTTTCGCCGGTCCCGATGCCGCTCCCGGTGCCGTTTCTCCGCTCCCTGTCCCGTTTCCCCGGTCCCGATGCCGCTCCCTGTCCCGTTTCCCCGGTCCCGTTTCCCCGCTCCCTGTCCCGTTTCCCCGGTCCCGTTTCCCCGCTCCCTGTCCCGTTTCCCCGGTCCCGTTTCCCCGCTCCCTGTCCCGTTTCCCCGGTCCCGTTTCCCCGCTCCCTGTCCCGTTTCCCCGGTCCCGTTTCCCCGCTCCCTGTCCCGTTTCCCCGGTCCCGTTTCCCCGCTCCCTGTCCCGTTTCCCCGGTCCCGGTCCCGTTTCCCCGCCCCTCACCGGCCGCTCCTCATCCCGCGATCGCCGCCGCCATTTTCGTCCTTCCCGCGCTCCGTGACGCGCGCCGCGCGCCGCCGGCGCCGTGACGTCAGGGGCGCGCGGCGGGGCCGGGCCGCCATGGCCGCCGCGGGGGAGCTGGCGCGGCCGCGGGCGCTGTTCCTGGCCGGGCTGGCCGCCGTCTACATCGCCGCCTTCGGCTCCCTCTACGTGCAGATCCCCGGTACCGCGGCGGGATAGGGCCGGGCGGGGCCGGGCACGGGCACAGGGCCGCCAGTGGGGCAGGGGGAACCGGGACGGGGACGGGAGTGGGGCCGGGGGAGCCGGGAATGGGCCCGGGGAACCGGGACAGGGATGGGAATGGGGCTGGGAGAACCGGGATAGAGCCGGGATAGGGCTGGGGTAACCGGGATAGGGACGGGAGTGAGGCCGGGGAACGGGCGCAGAGCCGGGATAAGGACAGGAATGGGGCTGGGAGGACCGGGATAGGGCCGGGAGAACCGGGGTACAGCCGGGATAGGGCTGAGGGAACCGAGAGTGGAGCCGGGAGAACCGGGGTACAGCCGGGGGTGCGGCCAGGGAACTGGGGTAGAGCCGGGATGGGGACAGGAATGGGGCCGGGGAAGCGGGACAGGGATGGGAATGGGGCTGAGAGGACCGGGATAGGGCCGGGAGAACCGGGGTGCAGCCGGGGGTGCGGCCAGGGAACTGGGGTAGAGCCGGGATGGGGACAGGAGTGGGGCCGGGAAACCGGGACAGGAACGGGAGAACCGGGACAGGGACGGGAGTGGGGTAGGGGGAACCGGGACAGGGATGGGAGTGGGGCCGGAAGAACCGGGAATAGAGCCGGGATAGGGCTGAGGTAACCGGGATAAGGACCGGAGTGGGAACGGGCACAGAGCCGGGAGAACCGGGATAGGCACGGGAATGGGGCCAGGGGAACCGAGACAGGAACGGGAATGGGGCCAGGGAACCGGGATAGGGCCGGCATAGGGACAGGAATGGGTCCGAGGGGACCGGGACATTCCCAGAGAATACCAGGTTGTTTCCCTGTTTCCCGGGAATGGCAGGTTCCTGCCGGGTTATTTCCCCGATAATACCGGGGTTATTCCCCGGGATGCCGGGTTTTCCCCCAGTAATGCCGGGTTTCCTGGGAATGCCCGGGTTATTCCCCGGTAATGCCGGTGTTTGTTTTCCCCGGTAACGCTAAGGTTGTTCCCCGGGAATGCCTGGGTTATTCCCTGGGAATGCCGGGGTTATTCCCTGGGAATGCCGGGGTTATTCCCTGGGAATGCCGGGGTTATTCCCTGGGAATGCCGGGTTTTCCCTGGTAAGCTAAGGTTATTCCCCGGGAATGCCGGGGTTATTTCCCCGGTAAGCTAAGGTTATTTCCCCGGTAAGCTAAGGTTGTTCCCCGGGAATGCCGGGGTTATTTCCCCAGTAACGCTAAGGTTATTTCCCCGGGAATGCCGGGGTTGTTCCCCGGGAATGCCGGGTTACCCAGTAGCGCGGCGCTCTCGGCAGGGCTGTACGGGCGCCAGGGGCTGCTGCCGGCGCGGCGGGTGCTGCGGCCGGCCGGGAAGGGGCTGTGGGAGCAGCTGCGCGATGTCCCCACGCTGCTGTGGCTGGGCCCGCGCCTGGGGCTGGACACGGAGCAGGGCATGGAGCTGCTGTGCCTGCTGGGAATGCTGGCGGCGCTGGGCGCGCTGCTCTGCGACCGCCTGCGCGACTGCCTGCTGTTCGCCCTGCTCCGGGCGTGCTACCTGTCGCTGTACCAGGTGAGGGACAGCGGGGACAGCGGGGTGTGCGATCGTCCTGGCGTGCTCGGGGTGCTGGGGGAGGCACAGGGATGGAATCAGGGAATGGTGGGACCTTAAATCCCACCCCATTCCGTCCCCCTCTGAAATCAGGGAATTAAGGAAGGATAAATCTGGGTCTGTGTGAGCCCATCCCTCCCGGGGGGGCTGTCACCTCCCACTGCTCCCATGCCAGGGGGGTCTCTCCCCATGGGGAGGGGTCTGGGGGTGTCAGACCCCCCAGCTGACCCCACCCCACTCCCTCTCCGCAGGTGGGACAGGTGTTCCTGTACTTCCAGTGGTGAGTCAGGGCCCCCTCCGGGGCTTTGGGGGGCTCAGGGCTGGGGAACCCTCCTGGGTGGGGGGCTCAGTGGGGTGGGGGGCACCGGGGGTCCT